GATTTTTCTTAATGTAAAAATGGTAAGTTACACGAGTTAAATTAAAAATAATTTATTCTGGCACATCTGATGACTGGGTGTATAATTTATATATATACACATACCTTTCAGTTAATTGTTAAAAATAGCAAATTTTTTTTTGGAATACTACATCACCGACTATTTTAAATTAAATTCCTTCTTCAAGACTCAACTTGTGTGTCCTGAATAAATCTCTTGAACAAATACAATAGAACCTTACAGTACTACTTATATGACAGAATCACTAAAACTGATAAGGCATTAATGCTATGAAAAAACAACACTTTGACTATGCTGGTATTGAATTGAGCTACAGTAAACACAGACTTTAGGATATCTGTAAATTTATTTTCCAAATCCAGACGAACAGATACCTGCTGAGTCAGTAAATTAAGCTTTTAAAGGAGACCACTCACTAAAGAGCACCTTTTGCTAATGTGTCTACAAAGGATGGAGCAAGTAGGGATTTCTTTTGAATATATCCATCTTCGCTAGAAGAAGAATCCAGATGGATTCTGAGGTGTAGAGAGCAGAATAGAGACCTCCTTCACCTCACCCAGAACAAGCAGCAGAAACAACTTGGCCCTCCTAAGTCTCTGCCCAGCACTCTATCCTCAAGTCCTTATTATCCCCTAAACCAAAAATTATCTTCACAGCTTTTCATTGCTCATTTATCTAGAACAACAGCATGGGCAGCACTGCCTGTTTCTTTCGTCTTTTTTTTTTTTTTTAAATAAAGGAAAAGTAATTTTGCTGGTCTGCTCCTAGCAATAGAGTACAAATTCACAGAGATTTTTGCTCAATCTATTACAGTGTTTTCACTGCCAGGTAAGGGCATACATCAGAGCACAAGAGATTTACAAGACAAGTTGAAGAGCCCTAAAACGAAAAATTGGACTCTTTTTTACTCAATCCTCTCTGTCTATTGAGCCTGAAGTTGTCAAACAAGAACCAGACCTCCACTTTTTTATTGTTTATAGTGTGCTTATTTCCCCAAACCCGCAAATGTCACAACAAATGACCCTAAAAGGTACCATAAAGGGCAAGAGTCTCAGTACTTTTTGTGGTGAGCAAGTTCTTGTTCTGGCAATTTCCTTCCAGACAGAGAAGACAGATGATTAGTCTGGGAGCACTGAGAAGACCCCATGCAACAGAGCTATCAAAATCACAAGGTTTTCAGTTGAGACCTCTAAAAATTCCCATTAATACTGGCTGACCCTCTCGTGTGCCCCAATGAACACAACTGCAGGAATACAGGCACCATCCTGCGCTTCCTCTTTTCTTCCTTCCTCCTCGTGTCACAGTGACCCACTGCTGTGGTTTTCCAGCCAGACAGTGACACACCAGCCTGGGGGCTCAGGGCTCTCAGCCCCCCCAGACTCTCTGAGGCACAGCACTCTGCTCCTGCAGGGTCACAGAGACAACCTCCTAACTGGGAACTTGCTTTTGAGACGTGGCGCCAAGCGAAATAACACAAGATCAAGTAACTCCATCAACCGCCACATTTCAAGAGGAAAGAAAAAACTAAAAGCCATCATTTCTGAATGTATTTATTTATTTATTTCAGACCAGAAGCCACTGTGGTTTACAGAAGTGATGCACGTACGTGCTTTCCTAGTCACTCTGGAAGGAGCTGACAGCTTTCAGCACTTCAGCAAACGTTGCTTTGAGAGTCTTTAACAGAAGGAAGGAACCAGCAGCCAGATGAGAGGCATGTGAGGGAACGCATCTATTAGCAAGTACAGGGAGATGTCTTGTTAATTAGAAGACAGAAGGAGGGACAAAGCAGGGAGAGAAAGAAGCCAGCAGTTAGTCATCTTCTCATACAGATACATTTGGCTAGAAATGAGACACGTATCAATCTAGTATTCCTCCCTGCACTTTCAGAGCCAGTGAAAACCAATACTGAAAAGCAAAACTGAATACCAAAAAGCCTTTCTTCAAAACTGTTTGGTGCCCTTAGAAGCCCACAGAAAATTAAAACAGTGAGAAAATGAGAATTTTCCTAGTAGTGGTTGCAGAGGACAGAGACCTTCCATTTTTAAAAATAACTTTTTGATTTAAAATTGCTGCTCCTGTTTCTGATATCTACTAATGAAACACTAGAGTTTCTCACTTCCAAACCAGAGCACATCAAAGATGGCCTAAGGCTGGCAAGGGACAAATGAGTGAGCCCACCAGGAATCAGCTTTGCCATGAGCAAAACCCTTTCTCTGGCTCCTTCTGTAATCATAAAGTAAGAAGAGATGGCTGAGCCTCAAAGATGGGCTAAGAAGGTTTTGGGGTTGGGTTTGGTTTTGGAGAGGAAAGGAGAAGGGGATAGAGACTAAGGGCTCCAGGGAACAATGAGCTGACACAGCAGAAGAATCAAGTGTTGTATCGCTGCCCTTATGAGAAGAGACACCATTTGGATGTATTCAGTCTGTGGAATAAAACTCAAGTCTCACCACAGCAGTAAAGATCAAGGATATGGATTAGCACAATAATTGCTCAGCTGCATCATTGCCATTAAGAATGCAAAGGGCAATAGCAGAAGTTACCCATGCAGTTTCTTCAAGGAACAGGAACATAAATAAATGAATACATCAGTAATACGCTCTCTAATGCTACCTTTAACTCACATTAAGACATGCTCAATATAAACTATCCATATGCAAAATCTGCATAAAAATAAAACAGTTTTTAGAAGATTCTTTGTCCTAATCATCACCTCCTGTGTTACCTCCTGAGCATCAGTGTTCCCTGCATTCCTCTGCTGGCTGCAAAGGATTACCGCAGTGTTGCTATTTACTCCAATCTGCTATCCTAAAATGACATTTTGGCACAGAGCCGGTTTTAACTACTTATGTTTAAGAAAAGCTCTAGCTAATATAGCGTCTCTGAACAACATTTAATATATATTTGACTCATAGAACACTGTTACTCAGCCCAAAGACTTGTCACTGAACTTAATTTTAATACATCAAAGCAAAAAAAAAGACAAAGAAATAGTTAGTCTTTGTTCACTAATCAATAAAGCTAAAAAAAATATAGAAATCCCTGAACTGCCATGGGGAAATCAGTATGCAGTATGCCCTTTCAAGGAGATACGTAGTTTTGCACCTAGATGTTTTCTTCTTTTGCATTTTATAGAGAAAGAAGAGGAAGAAAAAAAATGGAAAAAATATATCACAGCTTGATTCATCACTACTTGCATGAAACTACAGCAAAATCAAGATATTAAAATCCATTTGCCATACTTTTTTCCTTTTAATACTTTTCATAAGCCTATTTTCATAAATCTTTTCATAATCTGCTTCTGCCCCGTGTTAGAGACATGATATTGAACTCAACAGGTATTTGATTTGAGTTAATATAACTATTATTCTCTTCTTAAGACACACTAAGATAGCAAATAAGGACAAATACAGAAAGGTTAAAGAGGAGCCAGAGTGGTGGAAACCAGGGACAGATAAAAGGCCAGCTCAGCATAAATATATTTTCCCTGTGAATAATGCTGGACACAGTAATAAGATACTGAAACATAATTCAACTACTAGCTAAAGTTTAGTTACCACACTATAATTTCATTCTAAGTAAATGCACCATTGAAAGAAAAAAATCACCTGCAGGTAAAAAGACATACAATGCTTTTAAATGTGTATATTGATACCTCCTGTTAAGATTTATACAGCTGCAATTGTTTACATACAGATTTTTCTATGCAAAAACAGAAGCTAGCTTTTTCTCTCTCACTCTACATACTTCTAGTAACTGGTCATGATTAAAAAAATGAAAAACCAAACCCAAAAATATTTTCAGACCTCTGAATGAAAACTGTGAGAATTGGTATCACAGTACTCTGGTTTATAGACTTCTTGGAGAAGTCCATTTTAAGCTTGAGATAGCCCAAAGGAAGAAAAGTAATTAGCCAGTTTGTTACAATATAACCCTCTTCTTTCACAGATATAAGAGAAAAAACATCTGGTTTTCAAACCTGAGGTTCTGATAGAGTTGTCCTTCTAACCATACTTCTTCATCTGATGTATTGGCAAAACAATAGAACATTTTATGGATTCTTGAATCAAAAGTCCTTTAAAGTTAATATATTAAGGGGAAAGCTCTGTTTACTCTGATTTTTTTTCTGATTTCGTAATGAAAAAAGTCTAAACTTCCTTTGATTCCTTCATCAACTTTGGCCTGTGGACTCTGGAGACAACAAGGACTGTTATTGTTACAACTATGAAGATTTTAGCAGCGTTGTCTTGATACATCAGTGATTCTTGCTCTCTGAAGAAAAGCAGGCAGTTTCCACCAACTACAAGGATGCTCAGTACAATGAATAATTGCTTAGCACTTCATTTTCTACATAATAATCATTTTCTTATCTGTAACTAAATATTTTAAGTGGTTTATTAATTTATAAGCTTGGTTGTGGACATCCCTGTGTTTTTGGCATCAGTACACAGGCTGCCTAAAGTGTTGATACTCTGTGTCCTCAAACAGTTTCTAAGTGTCCTCATAATTGCTTGTCACCTGTAAAAGAGGTTTAGATCCAACGCAAAATTAACATATGGTGAACAGATGGAGCCAGAACAGACGTTTGTCGAAAAAGTACTCACACCAAAGACTTTTTGGATTCAGCCTTTTAGGACCTTCAGAAAAGTCCGACTTGAAGCTCCAAGTCATACTAATCAGGGGAACAACATTATTCAATGACAATCTCATGTTGCAAAAACTTTTAAGACCTGCTACAAAGTAGAATCCTTGCAACTTTTCTTTGTCACAGTGCCCCACGAACAGAAGAAATCAACTATTGTTTCCACAGGGTACCCCACCCATTCACCAAGAATAATTCATCTTGTATGAAAAAAAAAAAAAAACAGGCACGCAGCTGCATTTTGATAATTAAAAAAATATAAATAATAATTGCAATAAAGAGTTTAACACCCATACCCACCCACCCACCCTCAAACTCTTCAAAATATTGCATTACTTACTGAGGAGGTAAGACAAGAGTTGTTGGCTGGGCTTTTGGTCTGCGTTTTGCAGATACTCCCATCTGGTTGGCTGAACGTTTCAAAGATTGCTGATTCAAAAGACCAGATGCTAGCCCGGCGTGGTACTGCAACTGGATAATAAAAAATATATATATTAAAATACACACCACTGCAATACTCTGTCTATGTCAGACCTCTACTGTCTCTACCACCTGATTCAAATTACAGCCAGTCAGTAAGTTAATGTATGGTATTTCATATACATTTCTTGGATGGAAGATGATACGAACAAAAGCATATTAAAAAAGTCTGCTGTGAAATAGGTATTACAGGGAAATTATGCTATAGGGCAAGTAAGATGATGAATCAAAGACTTCCTCTCAAGTTTTAACTCTCCTGAAACTTGGGCTCACTTTTAAATGTTAAGACTGTTTCTCCTCTCAAGGGATCAAGCATTCCTACTTGTTGGAAGAAGATATGAGGAAGAAAGATGCAACCCTTTCACTATATAAACCAGCTTTTTAGAAATAACATTCATCTTTTTTTCTTAAACATAAAATCACAAAACATTCACAAAGAAGGTTCTACCACTGAAAACTCTACATCTTTAAAATACCTGCTAGCACATCTCCACAGCACTGCAGAAAGATTCACATTCAGTAGCTTTCTCCTCTAACCTTTTATTTTACTTGCCAATGAAAGACAAATTTATGAAGGACACAGCATGAATCTGCAAGATTTTGAGTGCGTTCCCACTGCTCACAGATTTAAGAACAGCTACAGTGTTGGATCTGCCCTGAAACCAGCCTCAAGCGCAACAAGTTACAAGCTCACCTCTAAACACTTTAAATTTCCCTTCTCAGTTCCCCAATTTGGAAGAGAAGGCAGAGGGGGTAAGAGTCAGTTTAAGACAGATGCAATTTTCTTCATTCCAGTCCTCGCATCAATGTGTTCATTAAATTGTCTAAAGATTTTCCCTGAAAAAGGTGAACTGTTTAACACGTTAACAACTCTAACCCCATGGTCTGCATCTAAAAAAAGGTTACAGTCGGGAAACTCTGACTTACAATTGAAAAGAAAATGGTCTTAGGCAAAGCTATTCTGCAGGGTCCTGCCTGAAAATGAGGGAAACAAAAGCTTAGTAAAGTGATCTACTTGAAACTGGCTATTAAAATGAGCGAAGCTATCCCGTGAGCCAATTTGACTCAAATGTCAATGCTTGGAGCATCCATAAGGCTTTTTAACAAGCTTCTGATTTACTTGGCTGCTTTGCCACGAGAGCTCAGCCACGGCACACCATGGAGACACATCGCATTCCTAATGGGAAGGGAGGGGGGGGCTGTAGTGCCCCAACAGCTCTGCTTAGACCAACGAATTTTGCTCAAATTTCTTTCTCTCCAACAGATTTCTGAAATGAAAAAAAATCGATGAGAGAAATGGACAGTAGATGTTTGAAAGGCAATGTTTCAAAGTGTCAGGGGCTTAGTTTTCAATCTTCGCTACCAAAATTTGCGGTGAGTGCAAAATGCAGGGAATTAAAGAGAAAGCCAGCTCTGGCAGAAGACCCCTCCAACTCCGGTAAGATGCTTTTCCCATTTCTTCTTGAGTCTTATTGAGAGCAGCTGCCCTCCTTCAGCCATTTCGTGCTGTTGACACCATTCACTTCTGTTCACTGCACAGAATGACACTGACAACTATTTCAAGTAAATAACATCATTTGGAGACTTGGTCAGAAAGGGAGATAATCACAGGTGCTAATCAGAGATGAATTTTAAATGTAACCTTTTAAAAACATTTTATAACCTCACAGCCAATCTGACATTTAGTGCTCAGGTATTAAAAAAAAAAAGGAATTAAAAATAAATATATTCTAAAAAACAATTCTGTCCTTAAAGGCTGACTCCAGTGATTATGTTATTTTTATTAATTTTAAGTATTTCTTTATAATCTACTTTCACTGCTAGGAATGCAGATCCAACTGTCAAAATCTATAAGGGCCATTAAATATTTACCAAACCATCCTTATAATGGGAGAAAAGGTCAAAGTTAATAAAACTGACAGGCAGCTTCTGTCCAACTTGATTTATACATTATTAAAGTATCACATACTGTATTGCACAGAATGTATTCCTTTTTGGGGGCAGAAGGGTGTTAACTCAAGAGATTGGGAAATTTTTTCTTAATCATTTGTTCTGAGGAAGAGAAACAAGACTGAAAATAGCACCAAAGAGGTACCACTAACATCAAAACTACAGCCGGGAGATTCAAGGGTCCTGAAGGGTAATAAACATCCCATTCAGTTCATTTTTCCTCTTGCAAAATAAACACCTTTTTCTGCCAGCATCGGCCACGACAGCAGATATCAGCTAAAAATGTACCAATCCCCTGAAAAATTTTGCTAACTAACAAAAGAATGCCATTTCCTACCAGTATCTTCACCCCAGGGAAGTCACACAAATGTACTGTCAGAGAATATGATGGGTGTGAAAAGGCTCACACAGGGGAGCTGAGCTGAGCTCATGGGACACAAACTCTTTGAGGGTTAATGAACACACAGAAACCATATTTAGCTCAGGAGGTCCCTGAGCCGGAGCCTGCTGATGGGTGGAAGAACACCAGGGACAACATTGTGTAGAATCACAGAAGGAAGGGACCTTAAAGATCATCGAGTTCCAACCCCCCTGCCATGGGCAGGGACACCTCCCACCAGACCAGGTTGCTCAGAGCCCCATCCAGCCTGGCCTTGAACCCATCCAGGGATGGGACATCCACAGCTTCTCTGGGCACATACACAGGAGTGTGCTCACAGCTGGAGATGAGCTATGGGGTGACCCAGCAGAGCTGTTGAGCGTTTCAGCTACCGCCTACAGAGGGGTGGTCCACCCACGTCCGAGACCCTACAACCCAACGCAGCCAAAAGTTGGATGCTTGTGGATGGTCACGCCTGCCTTCTGTGATCGTATTCCCAACGACCCTCCGTCTGCTTTTGATAATGGTGCTCATTTACACCGGCAGATGGGTAAACAGCAATTGCTTTATCCATAAAATATGCTAAACACTCAATGAACTTGAGTATTGGTGCAGCACCAGGTACTATCACAAATCGTTTCTTTATCAGCCGCTGAGGAATTCCCCATCATTCAGAGGCTTTATTACAGCGAGCATCCACGGCTTGCAGCTTTGGGGAATTCCAACTGCTTTATGTGAAGCTAAGCTCTTTGCTTCCTAATGAAATATTCCTCTGTAAAATTTCAACTAGATTGATCTTTTTTTTTCCCCCAATACATGCAGATGAAACATAAAATCTATTTCAGAAAACTAAGAAATAAAAAACAACAACCAAAAAAATCAATTTATAACACTTAGCAGCTAGGATATACACCGGTGCCAACTTGTACAGTTTTATGACGAGTCTCACGATAGCTGATATTTTTCTTAAAACTGTGGTTGCAAGTAGACGTGTGAATTCCACATTTTAACATCAGAAGCGACACTAGCTCTCAAGGATGGAGGAGAAGTACTGAAAATAACATTTCAATACATACAAAAGCTTTACCTGAGGGTAAATAAAAACAGAAATTGGTTTATTTTTGAATTTCATTATTTTTAAGATTTGGCCTACACATTACGCTACAGTGTATGTTACAACTACAAACATGTACACAGTGCTAATTTCAAACTTTAAAATTAAAGTTTCATCATTAGAATCATGCTGGGTCTAAAGGTCTTTTGTTTACATAATTCATGGGCTGGCGATTTCGTATGTGCTGACCAAACAAGTCATTACACTCCACTTACTTACAAGACCATTTAAAGTTGCAAAAAGTGGTTGGGTAGGAAGAAGGTAAGAATCAAAGGGGAAAAGAAAAGAATGCGAAACAATCACTCAGAGCACTTAAAATTCATCGTGTCAACTCTCAGTTGCAGATTAAGTTTACATATTAGCATTATTTAAAGCTTTTTAAGGATCAATAGCTTTTCTTTAAAAAGTGAAATCAGGAGACTGAATTTTCTTTGTGATTGCATTACCCTGTTGTGATATTTTTTCCATTCTCATGTAAATACTTACAGTCCACACGCATAAATAGAAAAGCTTTTCCTCAGATATTGGTAATATAAAAAAAAAAAAGTTTATTTCCATTTCTCTCAGAAATAGAGTTCTATAGAAGTGACTGACAGATACTTTCCCATCGTGGAATTTTCAGAGTCCACTGTAACACTGGTGAACACACGCACATTTGCCTCCTTTTAAGATGCACATTACTTTGCCCCTCATCATTAAATTATTTCTCCCTTGCAGCTAACAAGGGATTTGTCTATTATGATAAAACTGTAGCCATTCTTTTGAAAAGAGCAAGGAGCAAGCAAGCAGGACACTCCCCCAGTTTCATCTCTGCAGACTAAAGTAGGCAAGAGAGAAATTACACTACCTTAATTGATATTTTTAAGCTTCTCTCAGATAATGAGGCCGGTTTGGAAATTCTCTTTTTCTCCAAACAATGTTTGATCATTTCAGGATAGCTGAATTCTTGACTTGGCCAAAACAGCATCAATAAACCAAAAGAGCAGTCTCCAATTTATTTACTCATTGGTTTTCCTCCTCTGGAACTGGGTTGCAGGCTTTCCAATTAATAGGAAAGCTAGACATTGTGCCTTTGCTCTAGTTTACAATTTAATTAGGACACTTTGTTGTTTTTTTTTTTTTTAAGCATTTATACCCCCACCACTTTGCAACAAATATCTTTCCATGATGGGAAAAAAAAGTTACCCTATTCCATTTTTTTTAAAATCCCTGTACAAACGTTACTGCATCTTTTCCTAAACACCCTGATCCAACTAAACTGTGAAACTAATGAGCTCGTGCTTCCATTAAAAGCCTCTCAGCCTGAACAGAGCCATGGCTCTAATTTGCATGGCGTTGGGATGCACAGTGCCTTTGCCTCAGCCCGATCAATAAATCAGGAGATAAGAGAATTCCGTGGACATCTACCTGCACATGCCCCTGCACAATCCTGCTTTTCCCTTGGGTCTTTCTACCTCCCTCCCAAGGCTAGGGAGTTGAAAAACAAAGTTTAGACATTTATACACACCTATATATATACACATATATGTAAAGATACAATAGCAGGAA